TTATTAATAAAGTAAATAAGCTCTAATACGCTTTATATAGCCTCCGAAACTTACTAATTCTCTAGTTCTAAACTTTTATTTCTATACTTTATAATATAAATATAATATATAATTATAAAGAGATTTATATTTACTAAACTATAAATAGAAAAGTAATATTAATATTTTATATTAATAACTTTATTATTCTATATTATTAAAATAATTAAAAAGTAGTTCAAGGGATTATTAATAATATAAAAAAATATATTAATTTTAAAAGAATAGACCGATTAATTACTTTTTTAAAATACGGATTTTATAAAACTGTACTATTCATAAGGTTTATTTTATTTATAACGTATATATTAAGTAAGTTACTAAACGCTTCGACTTTATAAATTTACTATATTTAGCTACCCTTTTCTTTTTTAAAAAAAGTTTAAACTAAACGAGGGGTAGGTAATAAAAGAGGAAATAAAGAGCTACTAAGAAAAGGTTAAGAATATATTTTATATAACTATTAAAATTAAACTAAATATCGCTTTTACTTATTTATAATTATTATAGTTCCTAACTAACCTAAGTATAACCTATATTAAAATAATTAATTACTATATTTAATATCTTTATATAATAAAATACTTTATATTTTATTATAATAGTATACTAAGTACGTAATTATTATTTTTAATTAAAAATATTAGTTTTATAAATAATAAAATAATACGATAATTATCTTAGGGATATATAATATTTCTTTTTAATAACCTAATTTAATAAAAATTAATATACTAAGTAACGGTTACGACGTTAATTACCGAAGCTAAGTTTCTTTATTTTAAAAAAACTATAAAAGAGACTATAGCTCTAAAGCGCCTTTTTAAGGATATTACCCTTAACTTAAGAGAAGTATAATTAGTTAATTATAATAATTAATAAACGATTCGATTTATTATAAAAGAAAAAAAAGAATAGTTACTTAATTTTGTTATATTAATATATAAAATATATAGTTAAGATAAGAGTACGTTAAAAATAGTTTTAAAATTACTTATATATTAATAAAAAGTATATTAATAAATAGACTTATTAAAAGCCTTTTATAAACTAAGTTCGAATATTTCCGTATACTTCTTAACTTTTATAATATATAAAAAGCTATTATAAATAGCTAAAATAGTTAAAAATAATTAATTTAGGCTACGCTTAAAAAAACTTAATATTTAAAAATAAATAATAAATAAAACCTAGAATACGGCCTAGAGGCTTAAAATAAATAAAATAAAACCTCTTATAACTTAAAAACCTAAACTTTTAAAATAACCTTACTCCGTAGGGTATATATATATATATAAAAATAAAACTTAAGCTTATATTTATTATTTAAACTCTTAGTTTATAAAGTACGTAATTATTAAAAATATAGTATTATTAAAAAAAAAGGTTAGTATACGTATTAAAAAACGTATTTTATATATTTTAAAGTTTATAAAGCTAAGAATAATAAGGGTAATAGGGGGTATAAAAATTAAAATAATTATTAAGTTAATAACTTAAAATATAAAAATAAGTAGCGTAATAAGAAATTAGTTATAAATAATTATAATAAGTATAAAAAAAGATTAGGGGTATAAGTTAAAAAAGTCCTTTATATAAAAACTAATATAGTTTTTATATATTCTTTAATTATTATTTATTTAGCGAACGATACTACAGAGCTTAGTAATATCTTATTAAAACTATAGTTAAAAGTGCGCTTTTTAATAATAAAAAAGGATAATATATTTATAAAAAAAGGAGTATTATTTATAATAACCTTAATAAGGGCCTAGGTTATTAACTATAAAACGACTAATATATTAATATACCCCTTAGCTAAATAATTATTAAAATAGTACGTATATTAATTACTACTTTTTATAAAATAACGACTATTATTTTTAAAGTTAGTATACTAAAGGGCTACCCTAAAATTAAGTAAGTATTAAATCTCCTATTCTTTAAAAACCTCTTTTTTAAACTTTTTAAAAACTAAGTATACGTTAAGTAAACTTAAAATAATAAAAAGAACTATACTTATTATAGAGGGTACTTTAGTTTCTTAATATTCTTTTTTATTTCTTATTACTTTTTTAAAAAGAACTAGCTTTACGTTTTTTAAACTTTAAAATAATATTAAATATAAACTCTTAAAATAATAAATATATAATATACTTTTTTCCTCTTAACGGAGCAATTTGCCAGGGCCGTACTATATATTACGTATTAAAAAAAACTAAGTATATTGCGCTCTATACCTAACTACTAATTAAAACTCCCGACCTTCCCCCGCTTCTAGCTATTTAAAGGGCGAGCTATACCTACTCTAACGTATATAAGACCTCCTAGTACTAGCTTACGTAAATAGCTAAATCTCGTATTATATACTCCTTCTTATTAAGAGTTAGGGGGCCCCTTATATATTCCCTTATATTTATAATATAGCCTATATTAAAAAGATTTCTAATTTTATAAAATATAATTTTTAAACCGGCGTTAATATACTAAATCTTAATATTTATACTAGCCCGGCTATTTATAGCGTTCGTATTATTACCTAACTAGATTCTATACTATTAAAAAGTACTTCGCTACTTCTTAAGTATACTTACGTTAATTATAATAACTATAGTATCGAGCTAGCCGAGGGTGCCTAGCCCGAGAGGGGTAGACTTATTAATAAGCATCTTTAGCTTACTAATTACTAACTATATACTAAGAATAAAATAATAGTTTATATATTAATAAGTTTATTTAATAGATTTATTTAGTAAATTTATTTAGTTTAAATAGAAAGTAGCTTTAAGTAATATTAAAAACGATAAGGATAAAAAGAATTTTTACGAGCTTTAATACGAAGAGTAATAGATATTAGCTTATTTAGCCTTTTCTTTAAAAACTTCTACGTTATTATTAAAGTTTAGAACCTCTGCGATTAAGGAAAGCCGCTTTTAACTATTACGGCCGACTATTATGGCTAACTATTACGGCTAACCTTTACTATCGACCTTTTTAACTAGCGCTACTACGTAAAAAGTAGCTTACTTATCTTAAATTATATAGCGGTTTTTATATTAAAATTATTATATTACGTTAAGCGCGTACTTAGGGTATATTATGCGTATTATATAATTAAAAAGTATACTATATTGTATAATTTTTTTTAAAAACGTAATCCCGTTAAGGTCGATCTTTTGCGCTTATAAAGCCGGAAAAAAACCACTATATAATATACTTTTTTTAAAAAGCTTATTATTTAAACTAGTTTTATTTTTATTTTTAAACTTTAAAGGGGGAATAAATAAAAGCCCGTTAAAGTTCTTATTATTATTATTTATTTTATTATTACTCTTATTACGTTTATTAAAAAGAGCTTTAAACTTAATAAAGTCCTTAGTATTTTAATTAGTAGCCTTAATATTTTCTTAGTTAGGGAGAGAGAGCTTAGTAATTAAGTTTTAATAAGTAAATAAAAAATTATAAAAGGGAGAAATAACTTAAAAAGGCTCGTTAATATTATTACTTATCTAAATTCTTAATAAACTATATAATACGTATATAAGAAATATTATAAAAATTATATAAAACTTATTATTATTTTTAAATATATTAGATATTTATATTTAAAATAAAATTAGTAAACGATTTAATAATATAAGTATACGCACGTAATAAATAAGAGTACTTATAATAATTATAAAAAGTTAAAAAAAAAAGAAAAATAATAGCTAAGTAATACTATAAGAATTTAAATATATATAAAGTAGCTAAGTAGCCTCGCCCTTAGTAATTTATATACTAAAAATAATAAAATACGTACTATTTTAAGTTAAGATTCTATTTATTTTAAATAAAGAGATATATTTATAATAAACGTAGTTTAAAAAACGCGTATCTTTTATACTTATTTTTCTTTTATTTATATTTAATTAAATTAGGCCTTTATAAAGGTATTTAGAAATTCTATTTTAAGTATAATAGCTCTTTAATAATAGTAATTAGGGGGTATATTACGTAATAAAAATAATAATCGTACTTTATAAAGTACTTATTACGTATTAAATTATATATTTATCTTAGATATCGTATATATAGACCTTTTCTTTTTATTTATTTTTATTTTAATAGTTAAGCTACTTTTACTACACTCCGTATGCCCATTACTGCGTGCTATAACTCGTGATAGTAATCGTGGCTTAGAACTCTGGGCAAATCCCTATCTTACCCGCCGGATACGATAAATGTCTTTCCCTCAATTCTCATTTTGCGACGCTCAAGTACCCATATGGATCAGAAAGACACTGCTTAGCAGACCACAGCTATGCGTCAGGACTAAGAAGTGCACTGGAACTTATTATGCGTTTTCAGTGGTACAGACATGAACCGTTCGTCTATCCGAACGTATACCGATTAATCAAACGATGAAGCTGCAAGGGACCAAGTACAGCCGAGTGGCCTCAGACGCCTCGGTACCTGTGCCAAGTTGGCGAGCGGCCGCCGGCAACGGATCCACCCCACGTTGCCGTGCCTCGGTCACAAAATAAGTCAGATAGATCAAAGCGTTGGATATGTAAGTCATTGACCGCTAGGCGCAAAATATTGTGCAAATACCCTCGGCTTGCTGAGTTTCTCTTGCTCGTAAGCAGCAAATCTGTCTCGAACATCGTGCATCTTGAATCGGAATACGATGGGATAGACTATCACGTATAACATAGGAAACGTGGACATCAGGGAGCAGGTTACGAGCGTACTCTGGTAAGATTACATCAAGGGGGGAAAATGCTCTGCCAACGGCCATATACACATGCAATATTCCACTAAGGCGTTGTTTATTGCCGCAGAACAGAGAAATCGGATTACAAGAAATCATGCAACACAAGTGAAGGTGGCTTTGAACCTCCTTCCTCTCTGAAACAGTCTATACTGGCCACCTCGGCTTCAAACATGTCGAGTCTAGTCCAGTCGTAGAGCGAGCATGACTACAAAATCGCAGTGCCATTGACATGGCTGCTAACCCCCTCTTGAAGCTATGTGAGTAAAATGGTCGCTTATGGAGGAAAAACATGATGCTTACGTGGACAATTTGCTGGAGCGCTTGTGAAGAAGAATGTCCACTGGTTCGTTTCACGACATCGACGAGCCAATGTTTCTAGGTTGAGCATCTCACCCAAAGGCATCCCCCAAAGGGAAAGGATATACTCGTGAAGGTGGTATTCTAATATTTTTAGTCAGCGAATCCCCAGCCGTAAGCACATGCATTCCCTTGATTCGAAGAATGGGGGAAGAAAAGCACAACTGACCCGCCTTGGTCGGCCAAGCTTCAAATGTGGGCGAGTCCCCAGCAACAGCAGCAAAGTAGCAGTCATGCAGCCAGTCAAGTATAGATTCCTCTTGAGCTACGCCGCCAAACTTGATTTCTTTGTGGCCCCTGAGTCCCAGATGGGCGCGTTCGGCTGGACTTTTGCTGTGATAGGCCTCGACCCACCCACTCCGGATGAAGAGGATGTCGCCAATCTCAATGTCGCCTCCTTGCGCCTTGGGCCGAATGTCTATGCCCTGCGCTCGGCCGCATTCGAGCAAGTCTTGATAAGAGATGCTGCAAGTGTCGTATGGATCAAAATGAAGACCCTTTGCATGCGCATAAGAGCAGAAATCTAGAAGCACGCCGCGGCCAGCGATGCCACGCTCAGCCCAGTGGTGAATTGAGCATTTCAGATTACTGGCCGGTCCCTCGATGTCTTGTCCCTTGGTCTGTTTTGACAGTGCATTCGATCAATTTCATCAAGGTTCACAGAACAAGAGGAATATGAGTGCCCTACATTATTGTAAAACGTCCCAGAAGGTAAATGAGCAAACTGGTGTAGATCAGCATTCAAGATGTAGTACACCTATGAGGGGGGATGGTACGTACATGTCTGAAGCCGTCCCACTGAGTGCCGCTCTGGGTGTTCATGTAGTAGTTATCATCGTAAAATAACCCAGGAGCCAGAGTCTTGATATAGTGGACAAAGGGCTCTCGATTAAAGGCAGGCTGGCCAGGGACATTAAGAGGTAGGCTACTAGCGTGTTAAGATAAAATTGTATCAGTGGGATTTGAGAGTTTCGTACTTTACCAGTATAACCTCGCTATTATAACCTAACACGCATAATAAGCCCAGGGCCTCGCCCCATAGGACCTATAGCGGCTATTATACTATATATATAAAAATACGGACTTAAAATAACTCCTCTCAGAATAGAAGAACTATAGATAAGTTATATAACTATAATTATATAATAAAATAAAAAACGGATACTTATAAATAAATAGGATAAACGATCGTAAATAAGTAGGATAGATAACCGTTTAATAAATAGTTAAATAATAATAAATAAGATATTATAAAAAATATATTTAAAAACGAGACTTATATATAATATAAATTTAAATTAAATTTAAAAATAAACTTCTTATAGCTTTTTTAATAATTAACTTAGTATTAGATCTTATAATCGCTTTTAACTATTTTTATTAAAAACCCTTTTTAATAAGCTTATAACTAATTACTAAAGCCTTACTTACTTTACGACTTATAAATATAGTTTTAGGGAAGCTATTTATAACTACGATATTATTTACTTAGTACTCATAGCCTTAACTTTTACTAATATACTTATTATAACTAGCTAGTTATAATACTTTAATTATTCCTATTTAGTAAGTTTATTTTACGAAAGACTAACTAAATAGTACGAATATATTAACTATTAATAATAATAGTACTACGCGGCCTATTTAGGTAGTTATATTTACTATATAATAGCTATATAATATAATACTTAAACTTAAAAATAAGAATAAGTAGTTTTATACTTAGCTCTTAGCGCCCTAACCTCCCTTAGTACTTAGAACTAAGTACTCTAAACTAAAACCCTACGACGGGTCCCTAAATACGTTTTAAGGATTTTTTATTTAAACTAGGGCTTATTTATACTATTATAAATCTTTTTTTATTATTAAAATAGATAAGGTTTACTATATAATATCCTTTTTTAAAAAAGACGCCCTCGCTTAGTTCGAACTATTTATAAGAGATTATTTTAAAAATAAACGTAGGATTTAAAAAGTAAATACTAAAAAAATCTTCAACGATTATAATAAGTTCGAAAAAAGACTTAAAAAAACCTTTAATAACCCTAACAAAGAACGAATTATTAAATAAAAGCTTATAACCCTTATATAAAAGGGGTTAGTTAGTAAGTATATATTAGAATTTAAATAGATTATTTCTAAACTTAATTAGGGTAATAAAGCGCTTATAATAGCTTTTTATCGTAGCCTAAAAAAAGAAGTTAAGGATAACCTCTTTTAATAAGAATAACTAAATAAGCTTTATAAGTATATTAATATAATAGTTAAGATCGATAATTAACTCTATAAACGACGCTTTAAATAAAAAGGATAGAATACTTAGAATAACCGAGCTAAACCTAATAATAAACGTAAGTATAAACTAATAATTACTATAATAAAATATTATAGCGGATTAATAAACCTTAGCGTTATTAAAAAGGAATAACCTTACTAAAAAAAGGACTTTAAGTACTATAATTACGATAAACTAGGATATATAGCTAGAGACTACTAATAACCTAAGTATATCTAATACTAACTTATTCTAAAAAAGCGAGCTAATATTATAAATAAAGAAGCGCCCTATAAGTAACTTTTATAGACGGCTTATTATAATAATAACTATTTTACTTATTAAGATAATAAAAAATAAATAGGATAGTACTTAAAGCGACCTAAGGATAAAGGGCGATCCGGATACGATATTATATTATTTATTAAAACCCTAGTAGTAATAAAAAAAAAAAAAGGATACCTACTTACCGACCCTATACTCTCAAGGAAAATAATATCGAATATATTACTACGCTCTCTTAGATTTATAAAAATATAAAAAAAAAAGCTAAAACGGATTTTATTATAAAAGATATACTTTACCTCTTTAAAAAACGGATTAAATAAAGATTCCTAACTAATATAAAAAAATAACTCCTTAAATCTAAAAAAAAAAGACCTAATATTAAGGAAATTATAAATAGCCTCGTTTATATAGTACGATAAAACTATATAAACTAAAAATAATTTACTAAGTTTAAAAAAAGACTCGATTTAAATAAAATCTTAACTAAGTTTATTTATATAATATAAAAGGTAGATAATAATAAAAAATTTATTTATAAAATTAAAAAATAACTTAAAGACCTCTTATATAAAAATAAGATTAAAGTAATTAAAAAACTAACTTTTAATTTTAGAATTATAAAAGAAGGAAAAATTAATTTTAATTTTAAAAAAGAAAATATTAAGATAGGAACTAGTTCTTTTTATTTTAATAAAATAAAATTATTTTATAATTTAAACAAACTTCGTAACGTTACTTAATAACGTATTTAGATAGAGATTAATTATAAAGTATTACTTAGCGTTAATAATATTAGTTTTAAAAAGGACGATAATAAACTATAGTATAAGTATATTTATCCGTTCGAGGATAACTAAACTATTTAGTTTTATAGAACTAAAAAACGTAAAAAGGTTATAATAACCCCCTATATAGATAAAGATTACTCTTTACTTAACCCCGAAGACCCCTTTTATAAGGAATTGTTTTAAATAGAATACTTAGATAATAAATACTTTTAGTACCTCGTATATAAATAAAATAGTCGCTTTTATTTATAAAAACGTAATAATAAGCTTATTAAAGATGTTTATATAGAAGACTAACTACTTAACTAAACGTTACTAAGCTTTAATAATAATAATAGAGTAATATTTAGCCTAGACCCTAGCTTTTTTATAAAATACCTTAATAATAAATATATAAAATAGGAAGATTATAAGTACGACTAATACTAAGTTTATTATATTAAAAAAGCTAAGACTTAAAAAGAATAATAAGAACTACGTAAATAAAGTACTTAATAAAAAAAATATATATTAAAAAATTAAAAAAGCTAATTATAAAAGAACGACGAAAGGCGAGAATAGAAAAAAAGTTCTTATATATAACTAGATAATATAATAATACATATTTACGAGTTAACTTTAATATTTATAGACGAGGATTAAACGCTATTATTAATAGCGGCGCATAAGAAAATTATATTTTACTAAGGATAGTAAATAAACTTAACTTATTATAAGTATAGAAAAATAACCTATATTAACTATAAATAGTAAAAAGAGAACGAGTTAATTATAATTATAAATATATTAATTAAAAGACCGTATACCTCTTAATATATATTAATAACTAATAAAAATAACTATAATATAATATTATAAAGATAAAAGATATTAACGTTATTTTAAAAATCTCGTAATTATAAAAGCATAATCTATAAATAAATTAGACTACTAGCTAGGTCCTCTAAGAAAATCTAGTTATTAAACGACTTAAAAAAAAGGGTTTAAATAGATTTTTAAAAACTCTTAAAGAACGAGAATAAATATAATATATAGTTTTTATTAAAACGGTTAAAAGCTCTAAGAAGTTTATAATTAATATTAATAATTAAGGATTATAATAACTCTAAATTATACTTAAAGAGTACTAAATATATATAAAACTATTTATAAAACCTAAAGAAACGGGATTATTAAAACATAGTAACTAAAATATAAAAATTAAACTTAAAGAAGGGACATAACCCGGGTTCTATTTAATATACTTAATAAATTAAAAAGAATAAGAGTACCTTAACGAATATATTAATAAGAAACTTAAAAAAGGATATATTTAATTATTGAATTCTCCTACCGGATTCTCTTTATTCTTTATATTAAAAAAGGGCGGAAAATTAAAACTTATTATTAATTATAGGAGATTTAACGAAATTATAAAAAAGAATTATTACCCCTTATTACTTATTACTAAGCTTAGAAATTTATTTTATAAAGCTAACTAATTTATTACTATAAATCTTAAAAAAGTATTTAATTAGATTCGGATTAAAGAAGGAAACGAGTAAAAAACGGTATTTTGAACTCATAAAGGACTTTTTAAATATCTCGTTATACCCTTCGGACTTACTAATACTCCGGTAACTTTTTAAATAATAATTAACTACGTACTCCGGGAGTACGTCGATATTTTTATTATTATTTATATTAATAATATTCTTATCTTCTCTCCCGATTTTAAAATATATAAAAAATATATTTATATAATATTTTAAAAGCTTTAAAATACTAAGCTATATACCGAACCCTCTAAGTACGAATTTTATATATAAAAAGTAGACTTCTTTAAATATACTATTATATTAAAATAAATTTATATATAAATATCGAAAGTAAAAATAGTTAAGAACTAGCTTATATTATAAAACGTTAAGGATATATAAGGATTCTTAGGATTCGTTAATTTTTATTAACGATTCTTTAAGGATTATATTAATATAATTAAACTCCTTAATAATTTAATATAAAAGGATACCCCCTTTATTTAGGATCCTAAGTATAAAGAAGTATTTATTAAAATTAAGAATATAGTCGTTTTTAAACTAGTTATTATAATCCTAGACCCCTAAAAACCTTTTAAAATTAAAACTAACGCCTTAGACTTTATTATAAGAGCGGTCCTAGGATAATAAGATAAGTAAAAAAAGCTTTATTTATATTATTTTTATTCTAAAGTATTTTACGGAATAAAATTAAATTAATAAATCTATAATAAGGAACTAATAGTAATTATTAAAGTATTTTAAAAATAAAAACTATAGTTATTTAAAACTAATTACGAAATTATAGTTTATATAGATCATAAAAACTTTATAAATTTTATAATAAATAAAAATCTAAATAAATGATAAGTTAAATAGAGCGAATTCCTATTTAAATATAATTTTTAAATTATTTATTAAAAAGGTTTAGAAAATAATAAAGTAAACGTTCTTAATAAAAGACCCGATTATAAAGTCGCGGTCCCCGAGGAAATATAAGTTATTTTTAAATAAGAAAAAAACGGTAGCCTTATACTAACTACGAAGCTTTTTATAATAACTAAAAGGATTAATACTAGCTTAATTAAAAAGATAACCCCTAAGCTTATTATAAAAATTTATAATATATTAGTATATAGTTATTAAGGAATTATTAAAATATAAAAACGGATTTATTAGTATTATAATAAATCCGCTATACGTATTAAAATTATAGAAGTAATTAAGGACTACGCAACCTATAAAAAAAGTAAAAATAGCTTATATAAGCTTTATAGCGAGTTATAACTATTATAATTACTAATAGAAATATAGTAATTAATTATATAGGATTTTATTATTAAACTATTAAAGTCTAAAGAACTATTTATTAAAGTATAGTACGATAGTATTTTAGTTATAGTCGATTAACTTATTAAGTTTATATATTTTATTCCCTATAAAGAATTAAGTACTATAAAAGACTTAGTATATATATTTATTAAGGTTATACTTTCGAACTATAGTTTGCTAAAAGAAATTATTTTTAATAAAAATAAGCTATTTATTTTAAAGTTTTAGAAATCCCTAATTTCGTAACTTAGTATAAACTATAAACTATTAATATTATTTTATTCGTAAACTAATAGATAGATAGAAAGGATTAACTAGATCCTCGAGATATATTTTTGTTATTATATAAACTATAATTAAGATAATTAAGTAGTACTTTTATTAATAGCCTAGTTCGTATATAATAATATAATTAGTAAAAGTATAAAAAAATCTCCGTTTTATTTTAATTACGGATTCTAACTAATAGTATATAGAAAAGTATAATAAGGATTATAAGTTATAAAAGCTATAATAAACGTAAGTAAACTTAAAAAGATTTATAAATAAGCCTTATTAAACCTCGAGTTTATATAATATTATATAAAAAAGAACGTAAATAGATTAAGGATTAGAGGACTATTTTTAAAAGAGGGGGATAGTACTTATTTCTTTTATTATAATATTAAAACGAAATAATTAAGTAATAAATTAGATTATAAAAAACTTAGACCTTTTAAAATTATTAAGAAAGTTTTACTAATTAATTACGAATTAAGATTATTAAATATAATATAATACTATCCTGTTTTTTATATTTTATTACTCGAACTTATATTAAGAGGTTTATATATAAAAAATTATATTATTATTAAACTAAACTAATTAGAGTACGAAGTTAAACGAATTATTAATTATAGAATTAAGAATAAAATATAGGAATTTTTAATTAAATAAAAAAACTATAAATACGAAGAAAATATATAAAAACTTATTACGAACCTCTAGAACTCCTAATAACTTTTTAAAAAGTATTAAAATTAAAATTAAATTTAGAACTCTTAATTATTATAGCGTCCTAATTAATAATCTTAAAAGTACTATTAGCTTATATTTTACGGGCTACTAAAGAAATATTTTCGGAGTCCTTAAGAAACTCCTTTAATATAACTCGACTCTTTTTAAATACTATTTATTTTTAAAAATAAAGACGCTCTAACTTAAATAATAACTTATTTAATTTAGTTTAAGCTTATTAATAAGCCTTAGCCTTTTTTTATAACTCTATAGCCCTCTTTTAAAACTATAACTTTTTTATTTCTTTTTTATAATTAAGATAATTAAACTTCGTTACTAACTAACTAACTATACCTAGTTAGCTAAGACTTATAAATAGAAACGTAATATTTATAAGTATAAATTATATTAGTAAACGTATTATATAAAATACCTAAATAATAGTATGTTTTATAAACTTCGGAATTAAGAAGAACTAAATAACGGACCCCTTATAAATAATAATTTAAATAAGGTATTATTTTTATATTTTTATTAAAAAAGCGAATAATATATAATAATTTATAACGAGACGTAGCTATTAAAAATTTCGATTTTTTAATTCGACCTAATATCGTATTAGTATATTTTAAAAAAATACTTAACGATTCCTTAACTTAGGAATAGACGACTTATTTATAGACCTAGAGGATTAGACTTTTAAGAAGAGGAGCTAATATTATAACTTAATACGTATAATAAGCCTAGGGCCTCGCCTTATAGGACCTATAATAATTATTATACTATATATATAGAAGTACGGACTTAGGATAACTCCTTTTAAAATAGAAGAACTATAAATAAGTTACGTAATTATAATTATATAATAAAATAAAAAACGGATACTTATAAATAAGTAGGACGGATAATCGTAAATAAGTAAAATAAATAACTATTTAGTAAATAGTTAGATAATAATAAATAAGATATTATAAAAAATATATTTAAGAATAAGACTTATATATAATATAAATTTAAGCTAGGTTTAAAAATAGACTTTTTATAGCTTTTTTAATAATTAATTTAGTATTAAATCTTACGATCGTTTTTAGCTATTTTTATTAAGAACCCTTTTTAATAAGCTTATAACTAATTACTAAAGCCTTACTTATTTTATAATTTATAAATATAGTTTTAAAAAAGCTATTTACGACTATAATACTATTTACTTAGTACTCGTAGCCTTAACTTTTATTAATATACTTACTACGACTAACTAGCTATAATACTTACTACTTTTAATTACTTTTAATGTAGCTAGTATACGTGCGCGGGTGAGAAGATTGAGGTAGCTAACCTAACGGCTAATAAGCTTACTAATACCCTTCGGTAAAGGGAACCATAGCAGCTACATTATCTTCAGCGCCCCAAACCCAGGCAGCATCTTTTGGGGCTCCCGGAATGCTAGGCAGCTCTCTTCGGAGTGGAAATGAAACGCTTTCGGGGTTCCAGGTCTCGGGCAATTGAACGCGCTCGGTATCTCGAAGGGGTGCCATGGTTGAGAATAGTATGTTTTGAGCGACAAGGCAGTGACGGGGAAAACATATAACTAGAAGAGATATTTCAGAAACGTAGATCGATGGCTGAGAGGAACAAGTAATAAGTTATGAATTTACGAAGCATACCAGCCGTGACATGGGGCCGGAACTATGACGGCACCAGCGCCTGTCCTTTCCTGGTGAGGGGTTGCCAGCCGCGGGGTGCATGGCCGGGCCCTGGTCATAGCGCATGTTACCCCGGATCTCCACTCGATTCCGAGTCACCAGGGTTTCAGAAAATGATAATGATGACTACACAGTAGAAATTGTCTTTTCTTTCTTTCTTTGGCCCTTCAGAGACTAGTTGCCCTGGGAGAGTCCTCTAATCGACCATAGGGATGGAATAGAGAGTTTGACTTAGGTAGCTCGACGTGAATGATCCTGCATGCGCCGAGCCAATCGGCAGTCTCTGAGCGTGCCGAGCTTGAGAGAACTTGAGCTTGAGTAATCATCTTATTGGCATATCATTATGAGGAGGTAACGGGCCAAGCTCTGAGCTCCTTGCTGTGCTATGCTTTTCCCAGACGCAGCAGCCGTCTTTTTCAATACCTGAGGTGGATTTTGAAAGCTCGTTTTCGACGCTGGGTGGTCCCAGCAACGTTCTACGCGCAACATTTCCTGAGATCGTACGTTCATTCTACTATCGCCTGGGCAAGTTCTTGTTCATCGATAGCCCCTCTTTCATCACAAAAGTCAACAGGAGCTGTAGCCAGCCAGTCGGTAGCAGGATGTGGGTCTGGGGATGGTGCCGCGGTAAGTGGAGCTTGACCCCAGTTACCTAAGGTACCTACATTACTAGGTATTATTAGTGCAAGTTGCCGAGGCCGAACGACGACAAAGAGGCAATACAATCTAGAGAAAGCGGAAGGCTTCGTAAGTGTTACAGAATAACCCACAGGATCATTATGTAACTTGGGCGGCAAATTCATCTATGAAACCATCATTATCCGCGAAAGGTTCGGGCTCGTTGGGAAAAGCATTTCCTGCTGACGGTGGTAGTGTTGATATTATAAAAAGCGATGACTAGTTACAAGCAAATGCTAGAATAGTCTATACAAGCCCCGGATGGTGAAGAGGTCTGAAGTCTCGCTGTCAAAGGCACGACGCACTACTAGGAGACCCCATAGGTAACGCAAGTAAGTTTACACCTGTAATGGTGAACCTAAAATCGGATTAACTGGAGAGCCAACGACTCTCTAGACAACTCTCGCATTCCTCCTTCTGCTAATGTCCGCAGTTTTGTCCCCGTCTGGATATCCCCATGCATCGACACCGCAAGTGCCCCATCTTCGCCACCAGCGATATCCATACGACACTCCCTTTTTGGCCGTCCAGTGATTGTCTGGATTCCGTCGAACCCGAGGGCGGCCATGCAAGCCTGAATCGTGTCAGCCATCAGCTCTACACACTTAAGCCGCTCGACATGAAACTCACATCTCCCCTTATACTTCTTTGTCCGAGGGCGCTTCGTAAACTTTTGGCAATCGGCACAGTATCTCAAATCTCCCATGGACTCGCGGAGCCTTGCATATAGCGGGCACGTGGTACACAAGCAGTGCCTACACCACTGCCGCCGGCACATAGCGTGGTCGGTGGCATACGAGCGACAGGGCGTCCAGTTTGAGCATCTTCTCGGGGGCTCGGCGTACTTGTAGACGTGGCGTTTTCTCCGATGCCAGTAATTGTCTTGGACCACCCCGATTGCTGAAGTGTCACCGCATTCGCACTTGATCGTCTCTGGAGGGTTGACTTGGTCGTAGGAAAGTAGCGAGGGTTTTGCCGGAATTAGTGGAAGCATCATGGCGCGTAGAGAGTGTGATGCAAGGGACATGCAGATGAGGTCGTTTTGCTGGCAGTGAGAAAGAATCTCAAGTTGAAGCTCGGGTGGGAGTTTGGTGAAGATGGCGAATGAGAATTGTGTAAGTGGTCGGGAAGAGTTGACAGAGGTGCCTTTTCTGGACATGGTGCATAAGGCTGAGATGGTGTCAAGATATTCGAGGTCGAAATTTTCAAACAGATGGTAGCTTGAAAATATCTTGTATGCAGGTGCAAATTGATGAATTTCTTCTCGGGAAGCTCACAGAAAATGAGGTTCAATTTTACAAGCTTTTGTATTCGACGATGGGCTGCATTCAATCCTTGTCCTGGTAGCCGTTAGCGGGTGTTGCCTGTTCCTAAGCCAGCTGGCCCCACAAAATCTGCCTAAACATCACGATACCACACGACGGACGGAAGCGTTAGGACAGGAAATAGGACGGCCAATACGTTTCGGAACGATCACGTTGGTCTGTGATCATCGAATTACACTGCGACTGTCTGTCAGAAGCCCCGTCAGCCTAAGTGCGTGGATCTCAACACTCAGGCAACATCATCCTCATCCGCCTCCTCCGGCCTTTGCTCCGCGATTTCCTCCAGTTTCCTGATGGCATCTCCGACCATATCAATATCTTCGAGCTCCTCATCAGATACCTCTTCATTGGATTCGCCAATATCCTTATTGGGAATACCGGCAGCGCTAATCAGATTGTTCATCAGACTAATGCGGTACCTAAGATCGAAGAGGTCCCAATTGGGAAGATCTTCTTGTGTCTTTACAGTGATATGAAACTCGTGGCCATCACTGGTTTTGCGCTGGGTCACTGAAGAAACGAGGCAGATTTCTTGAGGCTCGTCGTCGGCAAGCTGGAAATCCCTCAGCAGTTCATAGGGATCTTGCGCCAGATCACTTGTCCATGCGCGTGGTTCGTATTGTCTCGCCTGTGTCTGCAGCAAATGCCCGCGCAACCGAATGGAGAGGTCGCCGTTGGTATGGATGCCTCTATCAATTGGCTGCAGGGCTATTCGGCCGTCGTCAAACATTCGATGCGGAATACGGTCCAGGCTGGTCAGATCGGCGCAAGAGTCCAGGCAGACCATTCTGAGAGCGTCAATGAATCTTTAAGCCGTCCCCCGTCCGAAAACTTTTATTAGAGCGTTCAAGCTTGCCACAATCATGCGGGAAAAGGGTAGATATGAGCTGCTTTACAATATCTGGTGCCTACCTTAGCAAAGGGCATGTCCCATTGTCCCGCTGCTTTGCCAACCGAGAATTAGCTTACTACTTATTGAATTTAGAGAATATTGCTTGGCTCACCATTTGGACCGCTCGTTTATTCCCGTACTTCCTCTGGTTGCCCGGCGAACTTGGTAACAGATTGCGCAGACTGCTGTCGGCGGATTACAAACTGTGAACAGACATAGAGTGATCTCAGCATTTATTTAAAAAGAACAAATAGCATATACAATACAATATAAACACAAGAACAGCAAGGTTAGCAATAATAGTAAGAGTATAGAGAAGCAGGATAAGAGTTTGGTCAAGATTATAAATTTAAACCCGAATACTATTCCGTTCTACCAGTACGTTGTCTACAAACTAGAAACAAATACTTCTTCAGATTCGTTCCTAGATCTTGTATTTGTAACGAGAGCCTTCTAACGGTCTTTAAGATAAAGTTTGCTATGGAATAAACTGTATAAATGGGTTAGTAACATGTGTATAATACGTGGTTTATGGCCGAAAGTGGTCTTCAGCCCAACTGCGAACACGGTTAAAGTTGCGGCATGTGTGAGGTTCTTTCCAGTCGGCAACAACCCTGCCAGCATCATCCGACCAGCTGAAAACCATGGGAGTCAGGTCACCGTGGCATTGTACCGTCTGCCTAAGATAGTCAAGGCAGTGGTCTAGCGCTGCCATTAGCCGCACTGTTTTTGAAGTTTAGGACAGGAACATAGCTTACCGACGTGCATCCTATGAATTCTAGGGCTTTCCTCCTCCTTGTAATAATCTGGATCCAGAGCCATCCTCACTTTGTTCTTCGACGTGTTAGTCATCGCGGCAGACATATCACGGGCCTGAGGTACTTTACCACGCAATGGAGGGTATGCATCACATCTAGACTAGAAAATTCTTAGTCCATTACCGAAAAGTCTACTAGTAAGAATGCGAAACTTACGCCACTTCATAGTTCCCATGGCTGTCTTTCCACGTGCGCCCGACCATGCTCGATGCTTCGCTCCCAACAAGGTTCATGTATTGGCCTGAACATGGTCAGTGTGGTTCGAGGTTGGGCTCTCTTGGCCAGTCACCTTTCAGCAGACTCTTCCATGCTGCATCAATCTCTGGCGATGGAGGCCCGACATATTGAGGCTGTCCTTCAATTACCTCACGGTACAAGGTCCCATTCTTGTAGAAGTGAAGGCCGCCAGTGAAACGTACTGTTTCACTGGAAAGTACACCTTTGATTGGTTCTATGTAAATCTTCATGTCAGCTCGTGATCTTCCTATCGTTTGAGAACACTGTCTGGCATACCTAACTCGGTTGGGAAGCCTTTAAGAAAGCCGCTGTCGATTCGAGCACTCGCTAGCCGAGTGTGAAGAACAAACAAGGCAATGACCAGTACAGGAAAAATGGCAAATAAAAGCAACGAAATAAAGTAATAAGATCTAGAAACCGACACAATCGGTGACGAGGGCCTCCTTCGCAGAGGCAGCTGGTCTTCACTACACTCCGAGCTCTCTTCTACAGACACATACTGTGTTGACTTGTCTGCCTTGAAGAAGTTCATAGTGACTTAACTTTATGTTGGGAGAATAGAAGAGTGACGGGTGACCATCTGGTTCATCAAAGGGAGGTTCTGGTCTTGGAGATTAATGAACCCCGACTGCAACGGCCACAGGGTGCCCTACGACTAATGTGTCATCCAATGGCAAGAAAAATCATCTAATCCTTGACCACAATACCGGCAAAAGAATGCCGTTCGAGTGCGAATTGCTAGAAAAACAAATCAAAATAGGCACTATTTCGAAAACGGGTTCGCCGAACGCCCGCAGATGTCGTTTGGCTTTTCCGTCTCTGGCTGGCGACTCAGTCCGGGGTGGAGCAGTTCGGGTGCAAATGACGACTCCCTCCCGTCGAAGCTTTGACTGCCAAAAGTCAAAACATGGGACCGACACAAACTCAATGGCAGAGCTGTGTTGATCTTGACATCGTCACGTTGACTCTGTTCGGCACTCGACTTCGGTCCTCGAATAGGAGTCCATCGCCGATCGTACTCCTCAATAATGAAAATCCATCACAATGGCGGAACGGCGGAATTTGCTGAAGTATAGACTATGAATCTTGTATACGGCGCATTTATGCGCTGAGCTTCTTCGTCGGGAGACAGAACCAAAGTCAAAACCCCATGTAGTAAAGTACGGTTGCAGATGATTCTCTCATTTTCCGAGCCGTGCAAGAGTCATGAGATATCATAGAAAGTCAGCAAATGACACGGCCAAGTAGAGTCAAATCGGGTAGATGCAATGCCCCCGGACCCAAATGCCAAAGGTCGCCTCATCGGATCACCGCAGTAGACAGTCTCAAAGTCTTGCTCTCACATCGCCTTTGCAAAGGATTTTCAGGAACATCACTTACACGTCTGACTTCAATCCCATCATTTCAACGACACCATGTCTTATGATAGTGAAGATAGCACCCGCCCCATGCTCACCGAGGATGAGCACGAAAAGGAAACTCCTGTTTTCTCTTCATCAGAGCTTCAACGCCGCTACCAGCGCGAGGTTCTCTCCAAGCTCCTCATCGGTCTAGCTTTGAGCATCATCTTTGCCTTCTCCGTCACTTGGGTCTTCCAGTCTATCGTCCCGCCTTCTCGCACCAACGCCCAAGGCATCATCGAGAACCCTTGTGGCAACTCGTCCAGTGAGGCTCAAGCACTCGGTTGCCACTTTGACGTGCTCTCGTTCTGCTGGGTGCCAGAGGAGTGCTTCGACCGCGAGCTGACGGACAAGTTCCGCAACGCCGGGCCGTGGGTGTTCTACACCGACCAAAACAAGACAGCATCTGTGACTGAGGAGCAGTTCGGCTCTGACACTCAGCCCGTCTACCTTACCAACAGGCTTCACAAAACGCACTGCGCATACAACATTCTCCGGTTCCACAAGGCGTTGACTGAGAATCGCATGGTTCACCGCGAGGACGTCTTGACGCACACGCAGCACTGTACTCAGGTTCTGACGAGGATCAATGAGCCGGATGACATTGAGGTCAGGGCAAAGATTCAGTACCCTGACTGTGGGCACTTCTCAAGAATGTTTCCGGGAAAGGTGAAGGAAGGTGTGCCTGGTCACGGCCATGGACACTCCCACATGGGGTGAGACTAGGGATCGTACAAGCAGACAAAGTGGCTAGACTGAGACTAGTACAACAAAGCTTTTTTCTGGCCGTACAAATGAAATTTTTCACTATGACTGTATATGACTGTTGTGCTCTCATAGCGGGGATATGAGATTGTCACTGAGCCACTTGAGTCTGATATCTAATAGGCGCCAAACTTAACCTCTAAACGGCCACTGAATAAGAGCCTTGAACACCATAGTCTGCATTCCGCTATTCTTGCCATATATAACAACACTCGACCCGTACGTTTGGTAGCAATATCAACATATCACAAGGCGCAAAGTAAGCCAGGTAAGAGAACGTATGTAAGTTGTGCGACAACTACGAATCTGTCTGCTACAAACTGTCTCTTATTATCCTTAATCTGTCACTCGCCAACTCTTGGGCAATGCTCGCTCGGGTTCCTTTGACCACGCCAGTAGGGCATCAAAATCATTGCAAACATGCATTACCCCATGATCAGCTACCCGGTGCGTGTCACCCTCAATATGGCCTTCGGCAGTGGAGTCAGCAAAGCACATTAGAGCCTGTCGGACGTAGTTGAAGCAGTGCGCCTTGTGCTCCTCCCACGTTAGTGTGACTCCGCTATGATAACCAGGCAGCTCCTCCTTAGGAACGCCGGCAGCCAAGAGACCAAAGTCCTCCAGGATTGATGCCTAGTGACTCGGGCGTCAGAAGTGCGAAGAATGAAAGATCTATGAGATGGCTTACCAAACAGTGGATCTGATGGAAAGCTGCAATCTCGAACAAGTCACCTGAAAACAGCTTCTGAGGCCCGCTGCCGTCATATGGGGAGGCCCGGACAAAGGCTGGTAGTCTCGTTAGTTGGTGTTTCAAGCCTGCTTCAATAGATGCTTACCGTGGGAGAGACCTTGCCAAGAATCAAGAGTCTCGTTTAGGACACTCTGGTCATGGAAGGCATGGGCAGTGACCTCGTACTGATCAGGGCCAGACGGCTTAGGAACCCCTCTCGAGCTCACATCTGCTCTGCAGGTCAGCGTCATTCATGAGGTAAAGAAGTGTGGCTTGCCATGTGGGACAAAGTGATTGTAGTCGCTCCCCGCCGGCCAAGCCGCCGTTTCGTGTCGCCCAGCGTTCTGTCTGAACACCGTAGTGGTCGCTCCCAGAAGACAAAGAATGAGGATAATCTCAAGACAGCAACGAAACATCTCCCAACGCGACATGGAGGTCTTGCGAATAGAGCCCCGCTCCAAGGCGTCCACAAATTCAGAAGAATCCGTATCACCGTCCGAGGAGGAGATGCGTCCAAGCAACTTGCTTTCTTCCATTGCAAAAGTTAGACAAGACGTTTTACGATACGAGGAATGGCCAATGTCAGTTTGAAAGATGAGGCAGGTCTCGAGAGGTGGGAGATCACAGAGAGGAGCAGATTCGTTCAGACTGTTGTTGTTGCTGTTGTACAGATATCGGCACGGCAGGGCACGAGGTAGTTCCTTTCCTCGCAATCCGAGCTCTCTCTAGTACGTGTCGATCTTCCGAGCTACTCAGGTGCGATATGGCCCTCGTCCTTTCGCCATCTTCAAGAGTCTGATGCCTGCTAGCGTGTACGTCTACCAGAAAAGAAGCTTTCGGGAACCACAAACAAGCTTTGGGCTCCGTAAGAGTTGGCTCTAGCGGCCGCGTCCAATGATTCGAGCCAAAATAGCCGCTATTACCGATGTACCCAATGGGATACCGCCCTTCACAAACTACGCGCTGAATATCATCATGGTTCATGCCACCGTCTTTCTGCCCAAAAGTCTAAAAAGGGGCTGCCGTCTTCCGCGTGTAGATGGCCGCGATCTAGAAAGCACTAGTGTAAACCTTTACCGGAGCCTTTAGAGAGAGCTCCATTTGTGTCATTCACTAGCAGGTGTCATGTGAGAGGAGTACGAATTCGAGCATGTAGACTTTGTGACCCTTGTAGATAGATCTCGATTAACCAGGACAAACAAGGTCTAAAGGCTAACATAACGTGTGACAAAGCGGAGTCAAAAGGGTGAAAGATGATTGGTGCGCTGTTTCGAAACGTCCAATATCCCGGGAAGATAGTCCCCCCCCCCCCCTCCTCACATGCACACTAAACCTCCCGGCGTGTCCAGATATTCAACCCGATCTTTTTGCCGCCTACCGCCGGAAGGCCGGCATGTAGCGTTCGAGAATCTCCGGTCCCATCGGAATGGAGATTCCGCCAGAAGACGGCACTACCGGCGACCGCTCGCACTGTCAGCTCTGTCTGGGCCGCACAGTCGACCAGGTTGCACCACCGCTCATCCTCGACACCCCAGTCCACGGAGATCTTGGGGAACCGTGTCCCGCAGCTGGAACACTCCACATCGAGAACGGCGAAGAAGGTTGTTTCCCTGTTTGTCGTCTGGTTTCTCGCCGCGGGGTTCGCTGCCCAGTCATAGTGATTCGTGTACTGCTGCCCCTCCAAGTACCGCGTCACTTGCAGATCCTCCATCATGTCAAGGTCTACGTAGCCCTGAAACTCCGAAGCGCGGGATCTGATGCATTGGACGACAAAATCATCCGAAGACAGGTACGCTGTGGAACTGGTTCGTTCCTGCGCAGCAATGGATCGCCCGTCAGTGCCGATGGCGCGAGACCGCTGGAACCTAGGCTGCCTGTATCGAGTCAGTCAGCAAGTAAACCCCGAATCTTCAGCAATATGGAGGAGCTCTGACGTACGCAATCTGCAGCAGGTATTGGGACTCATCTGGGGTGATAAAGTTCTCAATGTGCTGAATGAGTGGATCATATGACAACGTCCGTACTGTATAGCGCGGGCGCGGGCAAGAGTTGCCGAGTGGAATCTGGAGCTCCTCCTGGGACCGAGACTTTGCGGAGAAGAGTGCCGCTAGGATAGCCGCGGCGAAGGACATGGACAAGAATTGCTTGAGAGCCATTGTGTAAAGAGGGGGAATGTTAGAACGGGATTGACTGAAAGAGGTTAGAGAAGAAGTTTATGGTCAGGAATCGCAAACGCTAAGACCAGCACCGTGGGCCCGACGGATATCCGCCTTATATGCCCGATCGAGAGGCTTCCTATGGGACTTGAGAGAAACTGACGATTCATGCCTAGAGTTGTTCCTTGAGCCACGAAAAACTCTGAAATTTTCAAAGGTTGGATTCATGATGATCTCGATCCCCGAAGTTCAAACTTTGTCAACTTGGAATTCCCGATGGGAGACGCAATCATCTCGACTTATTCTCGTCGACGGGCGGCGATGCGTTGACTTTCGATCTTTGGAAAAGGTTGAACGGATCAACGAGTCATACGATCGAGCTGTAGTTCTTCTGTGGACTCGGAAGTATGGAGTATCACGAACAGCAAGAGTGACGACGCGTTGACGCTATCACGAACAGGAAGTTCACGACAGGGCGGCGAGTGACGAAAGCACCCGTGTCCGTCGGGCCGATGGCGTGGCCTCTGAATCTTGAACGAAGCGGCAACTTCACTGATGAGTTGTTAGCCGAGTCGACAGCGAAGTTGAACAGAAAAATGGATATTTAAGGGTGCAATCTATCCCGGAAACAGCAAAAGGTTTCTTCACTCACTCATCAAGTCAAACACCTTCACAGTCTTCCAAGCTTCTTCAAAATCTTCAGTCTTCACCTTGCCTCTAGCAACCTTCTTCAAGCAAAAGTCATCCTTCCTCTCATAACTCCAAACGCCATCATGCATATGACAAAGGTCACCGCCATCCTTGCCTTCGCTGCAAGCCTTGCCGCCGCCGCCCCGGGTGCCAAGCTCGCCGTTCCGGAGAAGCGCCAAACCACCGAGTTCGGTCCCTATCCTGAGGACAGTTACCAGGGCAAGGAGAACAGCAAGCGCCAGACTACCGAGTTCGGCCCTTACCCTGAAGACAGCTACCAGGGTAAGGCGAGCCAGAGGCGCCAGACGACCGAGTTTGGTCCCTACCCCGAGGATAGCTACCAGGGACAGGAGAATGGAAAGCGTCAGACTACAGAATTTGGTCCTTACCCTGAAGATAACTACCAGGGCAAGGACAACCAAAGACGCCAGACGACAGAGTTTGGCCCGTACCCTGAGGACAAGTACGAGGGCAGAACGAAACGCCAGACCACGGAGTTCGGTCCGTACCCTGAAGACAGTTACCAGGGCAAGAGCTCGAAGCGACAGACCACCGAGTTTGGGCCCTATCCCGAGGACAAGTATGAGGGAAACAGCATGAAGGAGAAGCGTCAAACCACAGAGTTTGGCCCCTACCCCGAAGACAAGTACGACAGCAACAGCATGAAGGAGAAGCGTCAGACTACGGAATTCGGACCCTATCCCGAAGACAAGTACGACAGCAACAGCATGAAGGAGAAGCGCCAGACAACCGAGTTTGGTCCTTATCCAGAGGACAAGTACGAGAGCAGCAACTCCAAGCGTCAAACGACCGAGTTCGGACCTTATCCCGAAGACAAGTACGAAGCCAAAAACTCTAGACGCCAGACCACCGAGTTCGGACCCTACCCGGAGGATAAGTACGAGAGCAAGAACTCCAAGCGCCAGACTACAGAGTTCGGCCCCTACCCAGAGGACAAGTACGAGGGTAACGGCAAGAACTCCAAGCGCCAGACCACCGAATTCGGACCCTATCCCGAGGACAAGTACGAGGCCACCGACAAGAAGGAATAGAGTAAGTCTCTTACCGCCCTTACATGCCTCCCCCTACCTGCACAACGGCCTTTCCGTCTAACGCAATGAACCAAACTTTGCAGCTTCTTGTCACCTTCACGAGTTAGAATCGGAAGCTACATGGAGTCTCGCGGCGACATCAAGAAGAAGAAAAACAAGAAAAGGGGCAGAAAAAACAGGTTTTGGATGGGGGAGTATGTCTTGAAGTTACATGTGCCTAGCTCGCAGCTATAGACTGGAACTCGTGTTGTGTTTTTCAAACAAGTCCTTTCCCGTGATGCCCATGCCAGAGTGACTCGGATTCTGATTGTTGTCAGTGTAGTATCATCGCAGTTGGGATAGGGGCTGTGAAGTTCCACCAGTCCAGCTCAGTTAAATGAAAAGAATTTGTCAAGCCAAGACTCGATGTATATTCGACAGCCGTACCAACGGATACTCAGCGTGGTTGCTGAAATTCAAAAGACTCATCCGCTCAGCAACGGCCACATTCACTCAAGTCACAAAAAGCAATCTGATGTGGCATGTCAACAGCAAGTAGTATTGCTCTACTCTTCCACACGTCCGTGTCGTTCATTCCCAAACATGTACAAGAAGCATGCTTTTTCGCAGCCGAGCCCACTACCCACTCCCTTCATCCAGTTTCCCTCCTCCCATTCTCCAGACATCAGTGACATGACAATAAGAAGCGAAATTACATGATTTGTAAGGCTCTCGGTGACGTGGCAGCGCGAGAAAGCTTTCATGAGATGCGACGGCACGACGAGTTGTCTCGCGTGACAAAAAAAGCGTGCTCGAAAACATAGTAGGTAATAAAGGAATAAAAATAGCAAAAAACATTTGTGGTATCTTTCCGGCAAAGCATGCTGCGGTGCGGTAAAGACGTGAGCAAAGCAGCTATATCGGTAACAAAAAACAAATCAGCTGTAGATCAGGGGGTATGATGGTTGGCAAAGATGAGCCCGTGCCAAGTAACGACCGTAAGTAAGTGTTTTCCCAAGGAACCAATACGCCGCCGCCTGGTCGTTCAGGCAGTCCAAGTGTTCCCATTTAGTCAGAGAAAAGTATGGCATATCGAGGAGGTCACTTAGGCCTCCTCCATGATGCCGCCCTCGCCGCCACCCTCCTCGCGCCACTCACGGCTCTTGCTGGTGAGCTTCTTCACACCCGCCACGCGACCAGACCAGAGGGATTCAATCGGCGTGCGGAAGGTGAAGGCTCGCTGGGAGCTGATCACTCCAATCGCTTGGAGAACAGCTTTGCGACTGTCGCGGCCAAAGACCGCAGGGTGGCTGATCCATTCGAGACTGCTCTCGAGCTCGTGGTCCAGAGCGGCAACGGTGTTGGCATCGATACCGGCACCGAGGCCGAGGCCATCGTTGGACCGACTGCGTCCAATGCCAGTGGCCTGGTAGCCATTGACGGCGGATGAGTTGGCCGATTGAGTGGGCGATGGAGTTTGTTTTCTGTCGGGAGTGATGGAGGGTGAGGCATCGTTGCCGGGGTGCGGGGTGGATGGGAGGGATCTCGTCGGCGGTGCCGTCGGGGGAGGGATCGGAGGCAGACCGCCTTTTCCGAGACCCTTCAGAATAGATCGGGTCTCGTTAAGTAGAGTGTGCGCTCGGTCGTGCTGACCGCGTGACACGAGGGTCAAGGCGCGGGTTAGCATATCCGACGTCAGCAGCTCCATGCGCCGCTGGACGATGTGCGGGTGAGGGGGGATCGGGGGCGATCCTGCCCACGAATTCTTGTTTTTCGCTTGGGCCGGAAGCATAGTGATAGCTAGCAGAGACGGGCGGGGAAGATGGGAGAGCGTGCCATCTCGGAGAATGTCACCCCATGTAAGGTCGGCCTGGATGAGAGGCACCTCCTCGACAGATGTCACCCGCTGGTCGTCGCCATCGCCAGCTCCGCCGAGCGCCTCCAGACCCGAGACGATGTTGTCCCAAGGATCCTGCGGTAGTTGTTCCTGAGACGTGTTATCCGGCACAATGACAAGCTGCACCAAGACGTCGCGCTTGTCACCGAATCTAAGATCGCCCAGGGAGGCCTCAGCGTCACGACCCGTGGCGCGCTTGGTAATCTGCAAGGCGCCGCTGATCTTGTGGAACTTGGCCGGAGATCCTTCAGGCAGCTTCAGCTTGAGCTTCACGTTTTGGTGAGAGAGTGTCTGCATGGCGCCGAGGCAGCCGGCAAGGCACTCGCGAAGCATCATCCAGTCCTTGACGTAGGTGTAAGATGCCTTGGTGCGGGTAGAGAGCTCAATCATGGTATCGGGCTTGTGCGTCATGCCGAGGCCAAAGGAGTGAATGGTGATCTTGGCTGCTTCGGCTCTCGACACGACAAAGTCGACGCTGTCGGCGTCCGAAGTAGAGGCGTCACTGATGAGCATAATGGTAGCGATCGGGTTGTTGTACTTGCGCTGCATGAGCAAGTCCATGGCGACATTAGCACCCTCAACCACGTCGGCGCGGTGGCTCTTTTGCCCAACCGGCTTGATGGAGCCCAATACGTTGCCCCAACCGGGCCACGCCTTTGTGGTCATGCCCACGATGGGTACGCCGCCGCCGCCCGATCCAAAGGTGACCAGTCCCATCCTATCTCTCTCGCCGAGGGTGTTGACCATGAATTTGAGAGCATCGCGAACCAGGTTGATCTTGACGCCTTGCATCGACGATGAGATGGGAACGACCACGACCACGTCGATAGGAACGTGGATGGAAGCCGGCATTGTCGGGCTTCTCTGGAAGTTGGTGTACTCGGTGGGCGCCGTTGTGGTGGATTTAGGGCCGCCCCATGACGAGGCAATTGACGACACCCTTTGCTGTCGCGATCCACGCTGCCAGTCATCCTCGTCCGTCTCGGAGAATTCTCCACGGTCGTACTCTGGACTGCGGACTGGCGACGTTTCGACAGCGTTCAAGTCGAGTAGCGCTTGGTGCCACAGCTTGAGCTGATTGCGGTTCTCGAATCTAAGGTGGAACTGCGGCAGCTCCGCGACAGAAAGGTTGAGTGTAAGAATGTTCTCATCAACTGCCGAATGGTTAACGTCCAGGCCTGAATGGTAAAGAGGAAGGTGTCTCACTGTTGCCCGTTTCCGAGACCTCGTTGAGATGTTTCTTGATGAGAATGGATCCTTTGAGTGTGCAACGGGTGGTCTTCTTGGGCATGCCGTTTTCATCCCACTGCCCTGCAAGGGCTACCTTCTTCTCCTTTACGCAAATCAACATTTCAGCGAACAGGAAGCATTCCAGCTCCTGCCAGGATGCTTTATCCTTGCCGACACGTAGTGTGCCATAGAGCCGCAGTTTGCCAAATCTGGGGTGTGTCAGTCATGTCATTGGCCGCAGGCATGCACGGAATGTGTGCCAAAATCTCACCTGCTGAAATCGAGCCCATGCCAGTTGTCCACACGGTTTCTCAAATTCTCGGTTTGTTCCTCCAGTACTTCCCGAGACTCGTAGGGATAGAATCGAGGCGCACTTCGGGCCGGGGAGGGCGGTCGCGCAAACGCCTCGTCGATTCGGGCATTCACTGCAGGCGGGCCTGGCGGGGCTGATCCAAGATCTTCGGGATCGGGCCGCCACTTGTTGTCGGGTACTTCTACGGTGATAAGGCAGGTCAAAGTCTGCTGCTGCCGAGACCTGTTGATGGTGGGAAACTCGGATCGAACCGTCACTGTCGGTGCCGGGATCGGATTCCTCGTAATCGCGCGGGGGCTGCCTGGTGTGGTCTCCATTGCCTGGACATCATAATCGTGTCTGCGCGGCGGGCCGCTTTGGGTTGTTTCGGGGTAGCCACCAGACGATGCAACGCCGGTGGCCTCGCTATCGCTGCGAGCGTGCCTTGAAGGGCCGTACCTCTCGGAAGCCGGTGGCTGGCTGCTCTCCCTGTCGCGTCCAGTGCTTCGGGGCGCGCTTTCGCGGGTGTGGGTGCTGGCCATATTTCGCTGGTTTGACTCGATGCTGGTGGGGCGTGGAGTGGGCGTTGGGTTGTCCCATGGCGTAGCCGTGGGCGTAGGGGTGTGATTTGACCTAGTGTCGGTGGATGAGACAGATCGAACGAGGTTGCTGATTTTTTCTGCAAAAGAATTAGCCATGTCTCAGGCGAGCAAGACATGGGAGTGCGCTTACCAATATCCAAGACATTGCCGCCCCGACTAGTGTCGAGATGGAGAGGCGCATCGCACGAGGGGCAATATTGCGATTCGAATTCGCGAATAAACTCGTAGAAGCAAGCTTCGTGAGATACGTGCGAGCACGAGAATTGTAGAATGCGCTCTCCGCGCAGGGTGTGCTCCAATGGCTCCTCGCATACTGCGCATTCGCTCCCTACAAAGGTGCGCTCCCTCCTGTTGCGGCCGGCGCCTGATGCCATGTTGTTGGATGAGTAGCTGTCGCCTCTTCGATGTGCGCTGTCTCCGGATCGAACTGATGCGTTGGAGCGCTGTCCTGTGCCGCGAGCTATTGAGACGTCTGTGTGCAGAATGGTTAGCAAGAGTAACTTTTCCCCAAGTTTGGACGTCAAGCAACAGATTGAGCGTCGGTCGTTCGGACGGAAAGTCAATTCGCGACGCTTAAGCAGTCATGCATCGGAGTCAAATGGGGGCCTACGTACTCTTCTCTGGAAAGGACGGCGCATCCGTCCACGTATTGTTCGTCCTTGTCGTTGTAGCGGTACCAGGACGGTAGGGGTCTTGAATGGCCTTGGGGCTCACAAGACCAAGATCGAGAAGGTGGTTAACCTGACTGTCTTTGGTGCTTGAAGATCCAAAGCCGAACCCTTTCGAACCCTTCCGAGACCGACTGAACATTAGGAAAGCGCCGCGTCCAAGACTGCGCGATCAGGTGAAGTCGGCAGCGGGGGGAGGCAAACGTGCCGTGAAAGGGTGAAGTAGTCGGCGGCTTGTTCGAATCGGAGGGCGCGAATCGTCAAATCGTGGGGCACCTCGTAATGTAGGAGAGAGCTGGGCGTCAAGTATATTTTAAGAATCGGAAAGGTGATATCAGAATAGGGACGGTATAGGCGATGAGGATCTGGGATCCACCCGTGTGACTGGTAATGCCAACAGGAAAGCGAACAAGAAGGCAGAGGTCGGTCCCGGGTATGTGGCTGTGGCGGGTTGTCACACAAGAACCTGGGAAGCCTGGCAGGGTGTTTCAAATGGTTGTATCAACAATGCTGGGTCGGATGGAAAGCAGGCTGAACATGCATGATTGCAGGGTGTCGAAAAAGGATGGTGTGAGAGTTGGCGACGAGAGGACGGATAAACTGCAATCCAGAGAACGGCCGAAGAAGGGGAGAGGAAAAAAAAAGTTCGATGCCGTCGGAGTTCAGCAGGAAATGGGTTGCTGGGCAGATGGGTGTACAGGTAGGTGCAAATGCACGTTTGCGGCAGGTTCGCGTGTCGTCGCAAGTTCAAGGTTCGACAGATCCCAGGTATGTTTTGGAGATGGCAGGGCGATGGCGTGGCTCTCCTATCCTCGGTTTTTTTCTCCTTTCGCAGGCGTCGGTGTGTATGTGTGTGAGTGTGTGGGATGGGATGATGCGTCGTCTTGTCTCGGTCGTAACAAGAAT